TTTGAACTAATCATCCAGGATAATATCCTATCTGCCTGGACGATATGACCAAAAATCTTCTGATCGTCCCTAACCAACCGGGCTGTTTGAGCATAATTTATGCTGATCGGCCTTATATCGGCCTGGACGATAATGTCAGCAAGTTTCATTTTTTTTTAACAAAAAGCTGGAAAAGCTTTATTAAACCAAAAAGCAGAATTACCCTATACAAGCATCTGACTCCTTCTCCAACAACTTAATGAAAGGAGGGATATTATCCAAGGAAACATCATTCCAACAAAAAGAGCTAAAGCAAGCAAAGTTAGCACAGAGGTCCGTTAACTTATTGTTCTCCCTATCAACATAATTAAAAATAACATAATTAAAGTCTTTTATTTAAGAGAGGTCTATAGAATCATTACCACCTTTCTCCACCACTCCCTTGATGAAATTGATAACATTGGAGTTATCCCCTTCAATGATAATGTCTTTATAGTCAAGCATCCACTCTTTAACCACCATATTGATAGCTAGAATAGATTGAAGTTCCAAAGCTGCTGCATCCCAATGAATTTGAGACTTGCCAAAAGCCAATAAAAATCTCACTTGGTGATCTCTAAATACCCCTCCAATACCAGCCTTGTAGGAGCTATGTAGAGCGGTATCAATGTTAACCTTGATCTAATCAGGTGGAGGAGGATGCCAAGAATTCGACAACCTGGAAGATTGATTAGCACCGTCAATACCTGAAAACAAAAAACCTAGAATTTTTTTGGGACGCTGTACTACAAATAGCATTAGAAGCTGTCATCACTGAGCTTACACTTTTACCTTCATTGACAAACATGTTCATGGCTATCCATGAATGGTAAATAGAATTACAAAAAAAACTCCTCATCCAAGAATTTTGTTTGCCCAGCCAATCTATACAATATTCTTTGGAATAAAACTCTGGAATACCAAAGCCCCATTTGTTTAAAAACTCCATCACTTCTTTTGTTTTCATGCAACCATAAACTATATGCCCAATGTCCTCAATGTTGCAAATCTATTTTCATGGCTTTGGGGCTTATGTTTTGATGATTGACAACACTATTTCTTCTTTTGACTGCTTGTTGTTCTAACTTTGAGGAATCATAAAATCGGTTACGAACAGACAAACCATGTTCAGGAGTTGGTAGATTTAGGGTTGTGTCAGTCTGTACTTTTTTCACTTCTTTGAGTCTACGTAATGGTCAAAAGAGACTGATGCTAAGTAACACTACACCAACCACTCTGAGAGATTTAGAATTTCTAGTTTTACCTCATATCAGCCAGGACGATTTTTACATCGGCCTTTGGACGATCAGCGCTTAAAATAGAAGTCCTAAATAAGATTCTTAATTAAGCAGCGTCATTAACATATAGGCCTGACGATACGGTGTATCGCAGGATGATGAGCTCAAAACATGAAAGAAGTTACCGCAAGACAATTAGGTATACACTGATTTTTAAAATTATCGGCCAGGACGATCACTTGATCGGTCCTGGCACGTCTATTCACAAATTCATGCTTAATTGATCAGGAAATCAAAGAGTAATTAAGGCATGATTGTATGACGATCATATCTGTTGACCTCAAATTTTAGTATGAGGTCATAAGACCTTACCAGAAATCCAGATCTAATCCTAGACCCTAGGACCACTCCTAGACTTAAGATCTTCCTAGACCTAGAACCCTAGGATCTATCTCGAAGATTTTGAGATCCTTTCCTAGAGCCCGCCTTAGGTCTATTCTAGACCATTAGGATCCTTCTAGATCTAGACCATTCTAGGCCTATTTTAGAGCCTAGATTCTTTCCATACCAAGTCCTAAGACTCTTCTAGATCCAGGATCAATCGCATATTCAAATTCAATCCATACCTTAGACTAAACTCCAAACCTCAAATCAATCTAAAACTCCATTCATTAAATTCAAATCAAATTCAAAACTTCAGACCCCTTCAACCATGACCTAGTTCAATTGAGAATTCAAACTTTAAACTTTGACTTTGATCTTACCTTGACCTAGCTTTGGACCCTATCCATTCATTAACAATCACCACATGATCGTTAAATGATTTGGATCACTTCAATATTAATTACTCAAGCTTTAAAATCCCTTTCAAATCCAGAAATCCCACACTCAAATCCAACCTTAAGGGCCTTGTCCTAAGACGCTTTTCAAAGAATTTAAACATTCCAACAAAACCCGTCCAATGGCTCTAATTTCAGGGTCTTATCACACTTACAAAGTGATAAGACATCTCTAGAGCCTACCCTCCAATTTTGAGCCGCATTCTGAGGGTCTCTAACCCTAGAATCGATTAAATCCAAAAGGCTGTAAAACTTCAAATATTTAAGCCTATCCATGGACCCAACCCCATTTGAGATTTTGATCTTGGAGCCCTTATCAAAGCCTCCATCACTTCCCCGATCTTTAATTTTAATCCCTGAGCAGTAAACTGCATTTCTCAAAATCCATTTTTGACCCAAGTTGTTA